CCCTGAGGTAAACCTGTGTCTCTTAAATTATATTTATGTCTCTGAAATGTAAGTACAAGCTGCTGTCAAAAGAAATGTATTCTCCTAATTATGCCCAGAACAAACATGTAGGAGACCCAGTAGAATCGTAAAATTCAGAAAACATAGGCGTCTTTGCAACATGGTCTCTTAAAAATGGCCAGTTTTGCACTCTGATAAGTTGTAAAACTTTACAATAACAGGTCGTTCTACCACATTTATTGTTTGGTTTTTAAACTTCTATAATTCTAAAATAAAATAAATTTATTTCATACATTTGTTATTGTGCTATGGATTTCTGGAAATACTTTAATTTATGCTTTGGAGTCCCTAAAATAATCTTTTTTATGTGAGTAAAAAACTGGGTTTTATATTTTCACCGTAAGTATTTTGGGCTGTTTAAGATAATCTGGATTTAATGCATTGGCTGTCGAAAGAAATTTCAACTTTGAAATGAAATTTAAATGACTTCTTAACTGACATATTTGTAGTATTTTGATACAAAAAATTCTATTTCTGTAATAAAAATGATAAAAAGATATTTTATTATAAACAACTTATATTCCAAGAATCCATATTTATTTAAGAATTTCTGCATCTAGAAAACTGTGGGAGTAGGGGGAATGAAGGCCAAAAACAACTGGGAGGAGGCATACTAACTGGCTTGGAATTATTTAGAGTCAATCTAAAGTATAGGCGTGCGCTATGTTTTGTAGTCATTTGTAGGAAGTCTAAATTATTGCCCTGAAGTTTGACCAATATTAATGTAAAATATGTTTTAACGTTCTTTTCATATTACGACAGGTTTAGTAAGTCTTATCTCTGGTGGGTCAAAGATCTGTTGTGAACTAACCTTGCAAAATCAGAAAGTTCCATTGTGAAATCCTAATATTTGACATAGCAACTAAATATAATATTATAGAAATTAGATGTAGGATTAAACATGGCAACTTAATTTGTCAAGAAAAGCATAGGTGACAAGTGAGGAATATGTTGCTCTTTCAAACAGTATACGAAGTCTAGAAGAGAGAATACTACAGAAATTTCAACATCTTCAAATTTGGCCTGAAGAAGCATGCCACTTTAAACTTCAGTTTCTGGGAAAATTGTCAGATAATAAAAAGTCTATTTAATTTTGATACAGGGGAAGTCTATTTGCAAGCACATCAGATCACAACAAATGCAATTAAAATGGTTAAGAAATTAATAATATTGGAGTAGATGTGAGAGATATATTTTATATATTTTTTAATGCCTAAATATAACCTGAATATTATTAATAAATGTATTGAATGGCACTTTTGGATACAAAGTTTGTGTATACCTGAAAATAGAAGATATCAATTATGTTTGTTCACAGTATAAAATATAAAAGGTAGTGAGAAAATTGGCTATTGAATATGTGTAATGATTAATAAATATGTTAGCCTATCTTCATGTGGCGTTTGGAGACTTAATCATTCAGCAGATTAATAAATGCTTAAATAATTTTTATATGCTAAGGCACACCGAATATGTCCATTAGAGTCATATAACTATTATGTGTCAGAAATAATAACAATATTAAACCAGTGGGAGAGGAAAGTTCAACTGATACAGGCTTGAGAGTCAGAGAGAAAGATAAAATCGTTAAAATCGTTAAAAACTTTCTTGAAGTGTCTGGCAGGTTAGACTGCTGGGAATTGAGTAAGTTCATTAAGAAACAGGTAAAGAGTTTGTTCCTTTGACCTAGTAGAAGCTCACACTAAAGTGGGAGAGATCAACTTTAAATAAATAATTATCACACAGTGCAATAAATGCTGTAATAAGTTATATGGGCGCTCAAAAAGAAAACTATTAAAATGCCTGAAGTAGTTATGGGAACTACTTTATTGCTGTGTAGGGGAGGAGGAGCTGTGCATTCCAGGCAGAGAGGATAACATATACACAGGTGCAGGGTTGTAACTAAACACCTGTGGGGGCGGGGAGGAGGAGGAGGCAAAGAGGATGTCAGTCAGTTTTAACCTTGTATACACACCTGTCTTGGCTTTGTTGCTTCTCCTCCTCCTCCTTCCCTCCTTCTCCTCCCTCCCTCTGCCCCTCAGGCTCCTCTTTCTCCTCCTACTCCTCCACCATCATCATCATCCAAGCAATGCCTTAAACTGGTTACACTGTCTTCTCAACATAGGTATATCACGCAATGTGACTAGAGCGTGGGAAATGCACTGAGAATCATGATACAAGACCAGAACTTCTATGGGGCTAGATTGTGACTGTCTTTATGTGCCATTTTAAATATTAGTTGATTATGGAGGGGACCCTAGAAGCTCTGGTTCTTCAAGAGTCATCTTGTACCAGAACCACAGAATTTAATTAGTCCTATACAATTAATTTAAATTCAGTAAATTTAAAAACTCAATTTTTCCTTTGAAGTATCCCTAATAGTAGACAAAAATGGATGCCTGTCTTTAAGTAATAAAGATCCTACAAATTTCTAAGATTTCTTGGAAATCTCTATTTTATCCTAAAAACTGATGTCACTTTTACATTCCATTCCATATTATAACCATGCTTTTTTAATTGGGGAAAAAATATTGCATATCATTAGCTAAAAATGATATTCAAGAATATAAGCCATAGTTATGTCATGGCATTAAATGCACTCTAACTCATTGTCTACATATCATTGAAGTGTGTATGTACGTCTAGAATGCCACCAATGTGAAGTTGGCACAGTGAAAAGAGCATTAGTGTCACAAAGGTTCTTTCTCTGTTTTTGAAAAGAAATGGTAACTTTCAACAGTTTTTAGTGAGTAGTACAGTAGTCTCAATTATTATATTTATAACTACTATTATGAACATTATTAAGAATTCTAGGTTAGTTCTATATAGTAGAAAAATTTACACCAACTACTTTGAAATCTATAAGAGACATTTAATATGTTTTTTCTATTGACAATTGCAATTCATTATTCTGGTAAAAAACAAAAAAGTTGTCTTCTCTTCTTTGGAAGAGTTTTTAGAGCAACATTTCATATGTTTAAAAATTGAAAGTCCAATTCTGGAAAAAAATTGTTCTACCAATGATAATTTGATTTGAAAATTTATACTGCATTGTGGGAATGTTACATGTTAACTGTGTCTGTTTCACGTCATTAGACCCTCTTGAAACTTCTTTTAATTTATAATTGATAAGATTAATTGTAGATCTTTCTGTATATCAATAATCTCATAATATAACTTCCTTATTTCCCTCCCAAATGTCTGCATGAATCAGTAACCCAGAAATTTAGAGGCAAAATAAAAATGAGCAGTAAATTGAGCATATCATATAAAAAGGCCCTCATGCCCTGGCCTCTGGCTCTGTATCATAATATTCAGCAATTACTCAACCTGCAACCTACATTCTAGTCTTGGACTACTAGTAGTTTCTCAAACACACCATGCATTCTCAACTCTCTCCCTGGAATACCCTTCTCCACTCCTCTCTGTCTCCACTTTGGCATGCCCTCCTACAACATTGTGCTGTCTTACCAGTGGTAATTGAAATAGAAATGCTTAGAATTTGGGCAAAAATGCTAATATAGTTTAGGAAGCCATGAGTGCTAATTTAAAATTATAGGTAAGAGCTATGAGAATTAAGAGAAATTGGTAATAGGGAGGAGGTGGTAGTGTTTAATTGGGATTTAGATATACAAGATGGGAGTAATGACCTTCCTGATTGGAGTTCACCAATATAAGGAGGTAAGGGAACAAGAGATGTTCATCAGGAATAGCAAATAGTTTGACTAAATCTACATAGAATATAAAAGTGGGAGATAATGTTGGAAAAGAAGAGTTCTGAATTCAAAAGTAAGGTGTTGAACTTTATTTTGATAAAAATAAAGAAAAATGAAAGATTTTTAATCAAGGAAGAGACATGATCAGCCTTACAAAAGTAAATCCATCATTAATGTGTCAAATGTGAGAAGTAGTAGGTCAGAATTGCCTGATGATCCTACTGTTATTTCTTCTCTAAGTAAGAATTGTATTTGAGGGATGACAAAGTAATGACACCGATATTATTATAGAAAGTCTTTTGACTTCTTCCAACAGAATGTCATCCCCTACAACAGGGAGACAGGATGATTATTTCCATATTCTTGCCATTACCCCAAATATTTTTTTTTTTTAAGATTTTATTTTTTTCCTTTTTTCTCCCCGAAGCCCCTCAGTACACAGTTGTATATTCTTCGTTGTGGGTCCTTCTAGTTGTGGCATGTGGGACGCTGCCTCAGCGTGGTCTGATGAGCAGTGCCATGTCCGCGCCCAGGATTCGAACCAACGAAACACTGGGCCGCCTGCAGCGGAGCGCGCGAACTTAACCACTCGGCCACGGGGCCAGCCCCACCCCAAATATTTTTTGAATGCTTTTGGAATTGCCTTCAGAACCCATTTTACATTCTCTTAAGTGTTGTTTATAGTGGTAAATAAAACCTTTATTTCATCACAGTTGCTATCTTAATACTAGTTAATTCACTTTGAAAGAACTGCTTTTGCAAATTCAAACATACTGCTTCCACTTACCTGCTGTAAAATTCTCCCTTCCTTCCTGGACCTACACAAAAATTTGTGTTAATACTGTTAACTTTATTTCATAAATACATAGTTGCCTATGTGCATTTTGTATACATGCTTATATTAGTAAGTATTTTATTCTCATACCTGGGAAAGGATTGAATAATTTTTGAATATTGGAATAATCTGGGTTGAATCTAACATTAATCTGTCTATCTATCTTTCTATCTATAGTTATAAGATTATTTTGAAATTCAAAGAATGAAAACACTTGAAAAGCAAAATAAGTCATTGTTTCTAGGTAATTCCAAGTCTATTCCTAAACCTCCTAAGAGAATTCTGTTCATAGAAATAACAACACTTTGATCACTTTTTAAATTTTAACTGAAGGTTTTTCAAACACTTAATGATTAAAGAGAATATGTGGACATGATTTTCTTTTTAAGGAAAAAGAACGATTGAAGCAAGAAAAACGTGATGAGAAAAGATTAAATAAAGAGCGTAAACTAGAGCAACGAAGACTAGAATTAGAAATGGCAAAGGAACTAAAGAAGCCTAATGAAGACATGTGCTTAGCAGACCAAAAGGTAATTTATCTTGTAAGCCATTTCATTAATAAATTTAATTTTTCCTGCGTTTTCACCTGATTTTGTTGCCAGAGCGGCCATTATGAAAGCTTTTCATTTTTATCTAGAGCAGTGGATTTTCAAGTCTAGATCAATCTGCCTCTCCTGGATGGCCAATAAACCTCTCTAGAGCTCCCGTGCTGATAATGGCAGTTCTTAATATATGAGTGGAGCACTACAAACCTTTTTAAGTGAAGTAAAAATACTGCAGAAGTCTACAAAGATGAATTATAGAAGTAGATAAGATTTCTATGTTTCATTTGGTTCTTCCCAGGCATTTAGGTGCAGTAAGATCTAATTCTTCCCCGCATCCCCAGTGATATTTACATAAATTAGGATTCATAATCTATAACCTCCTTCAGTGCTTTAGTAATGTCAGCTAACTTTTATTGAGTATGTTTACTACATGCCAGGGACTGTGCCAAGTACTATATATGAATTCTCTCATTTAATCCTCACCACAATCCCATGGAACCAGTATTTATGCCCATTTACAAATGAGAAATCTGAGACACAAGAGATTGAAGAACTTGCCCAAGATTACACAGCCAAAAAGGGGCAACTTGGATTCAAGCCCCAATTTGTTAAACTCCCGACTCCATACTCTTTATCATTTTGAAAGCCAAAAATATGTATCCAACCTAAGTACTTCATGTGTGTTTTCTCTTCCATCATGCTTCACAGACATGTAATGTTGCTAAAATACATAAAAGTAGAAATTTCAAAAAACCAAAATAATCTTGGTAACTGGGCATGACTTCACATACTTATGAGTAGAAATGAATTGTGTTTGACTATAGTTAAGAAGATAGTATTTCTAGAAAATTATTATCAATAATGCATATCATCCCTATAACACTGTCTCCATAATATATTATTATACTTGGTCAATAGCATCTATATTTACTTATATGCCATAGTCATCTGATATACAAATAATGATTGACTCTTGATGTATGTAAGCTCTTTTCTAAAGTGTTTAAAGCAAATTTTTAATACCCTAATGGGGATTTAATTTTATTAATATTCTATTTACTTAGCATAAATGCTCTTAAATAAAAATGAAAATATGCATACTAGTTTTACTCAATAGGATGCTAAAAATTTCCTAAGCACTGAGTGGATATATAGGTAGTTCACACATTTAATAAGCTCCTAGTGAGCAAATTGTTTTTAATCCTAAGTGAGCTTTATATTCTTGCATCTTTTATTTTCATTTAAATCCATATGCACTATGTCAAATATATAAGTCCATTTTAAACCTTACTTTTGTTAGCTTTGTTATATAAATTTTTAGAATCATATGGACATGTATTTGTCTGATATGGTTCAGGAAAAAAGAAGACTCAGAATTAAAAGGTTTTTAAATGGAACATAGAAGATTTGTGTGGTATCAGCTATTATCCATAGTTCTATGTTTCCACATAATATTAGTAGAAAAAGTCTTTGGTTAGTTATTTCAGTAAGTAAAGGATGAAGGGATTTCTTTTTAACAAGGACCAATTCAGATAAGTAGAAGTATTTACAAGTCATATTTTTTCCCAATCAAAATTTAAGGTACTGCTATTGAATCCCATTCATGGACAAAAATGTTTTTAATTTAGATTATCTATTTATTTAATTTTTAAATGTCCATGACAACTGATAGTACAGTTTAGTCATTAAAATGTTAATATGTGAGCATATTTGAGAAGGAGCAAAATAGGCAGCTTACTAATTTTAATACTGAAACTCAATATTTTGCTGCCCACAGGAAACCTAGAGACTGTTAGTTGTAGTATAATTAGGTTCTTGGTAGGGTCATGGGTTCTAGTCATGTGGACTTAGGAATTTATCTGCATTCATTAGCCAAAGGTGTTGCCACTCTCTCCAACCATAGAGCCCACAGATATATACTGTTAATTTCTGAGCTACCAAAAGACTGTGAAGTATAAATCAGACTCCATCATTAGAAGAAATCAGTGCACATAACCTGCTAAGTATGTCCATGGTAAAGTACTTTTGAAATGTTTGCTTCTTATGTTGTCTAACTTTTGCTGATATTATATAACACATCTTTTATCAATATGTGTTAATTAAAATTAGTGTTCCCTTTTGCAGAGGTCTAAGTTTGTATTGACTTCAACCAAAATTTATTGATGATTACTTGCATTCAAGATCCTATGCTTAGTACCATGGGGTTGAAGAAATGCCCCCAGGGAATTTACAAACCAGAGGGAAAACCACTGGTACAATGCAAGAGAAAGACAGCAACTTATTCTACTTCAGAAGATATAAAATCATGATTTTTTAAGTTATTTTTTGTTTAATTTTATTTTCAGCCTTTGCCAGAGTTACCTCGTATTCCAGGACTTGTTCTCTCTGGAAGTACATTTTCAGACTGTCTCATGGTGGTGCAGTTCTTACGAAACTTTGGTAAAGTTTTGGGCTTTGATGTGAATATTGATGTTCCAAACCTGAGTGTTCTTCAAGAGGGATTGCTAAATATAGGGGACAGCATGGGTGAAGTGCAAGACTTGCTTGTGAGGCTCCTGTCAGCTGCTGTGTGTGATCCAGGTCTAATTACAGGATACAAGGTAAAAAATATATATATAAATTTTTTTTAAATTTGTACTATCAGTGCATTGATAGCTGGCTTTAGCGTGTTAGCAGAAGACCCTATGGACTGATCCATATTTTTCCACATCACGTCTCACAAAGTTAAACGTAGATTTGCTTCAGGTTATAATCAGTACAAACCTAGAAAAACCTGGTTCATAAAGCCTGAGGAATGTAGAGCTTTCCCAAATTACTCTCTTTGCCTCTAGCTTTCAGCAAAAACCATGTTGATTTAAGGAAATACTCAAGTGATATTCAGCAAAAGAGAGAATTCATAATTCATAAAGCAATTAGAACTCGTGTGTGCCTTCTGAAATTATCCTGTGTTCTCTCTGAATCACTGAGTAACTGAAGCTAACCAAAGCATCTACAGACCAGCATAGATAATATTATAGAGATAGTAGATAATATTATAGATAATAATAGATAGTATTACACAGAGAGAAGCTTTCAGGCCCACCTGTTACTTTTTCCTCCATCTCCCTGTTCATTCAGTATACCAGGCAATAAAACCCATAACACCATAGAGCAGAAAACACAAAAATAGTGTTCTTGAACCTCCCTCCCACCCCACTACCACTACTGATAGAATGTCTAGATGATGCCTGGAAAAGCTTGAGATACTTTCCATAGCCAAAGAAGGTATGACAAACGATTTCTACCCATGAATTTATATAGTCTTCTCCCCGCCTAAGTTTTAACCAAGGGTTTGAAGAAGGAATAGGAAGATTACAAGTACTTGAATACTTGTCTATCATCTGTTGCCTATTTTTATCTTCACTTCATCAAAACTGTGAATAAAGCCCTTATCAGTAATATCTAGATTGTATGCTACCAATATTTTTAAATCTTATTGTTTTTATGTTATGAATGGGTACAATCAATACTGATAAAAATGCCAAACTTTTATAGGCCAAAACATCTCTTGGAGAACATTTGCTGAACGTTGGTGTGAATAGAGACAATGTTTCCGAGATTTTGCAGATTTTTATGGAAGCCCACTGTGGACAAACTGAGCTTACGGAAAGCCTGAAGACTAAAGCTTTTCAGGCTCACACTCCAGCACAGAAAGCCTCAGTCCTGGCTTTCCTGATCAATGAACTGGCCTGCAGCAAGAGTGTGGTGAGGTATGCAGATGCCCAGACTTTTCTGGTTATTCTTCTCTGTTTGGAATTTGTCTAACCACAAAGTAATACGAATTACTTATGGAAATTTCAAAGTGATGGAGTAGCACAAAGAAAAACATGAAATTTACACTTAATCTCACCATTCAGAGATGACTACTACTAATAATATTCTAATGTGCTTCTTTGCAGTCTACTGAAAAGAAAATTTGGATCATACTATATATAGTTTTGTGATCTGTTTTGTTTATTTAACAATGTTGTTAATTATTTACATACAAAATGTAAAAAATATTTTTTCTTGCTATGGCACCAGAATTCAGCGCTGTTGCAAGAATCCAGAATTTTTCTTTCCTTGACATCTTTCAACGATAGATGACTACCTGATTTTCCTTAGTAGCCATTCATAGAATTATCCAGTTACTTTTCATTTCATTATGTGCTAATACAACCTTAATATTATTACTTTATTGACATATTAATTCATGCTTTAAAAAAAAGTATCTGATCTAATTTAAGAGTCAAAGTAAGTTCTCTGCTCTAGTATTTCAAGATTTGGTGAACACATCCATGTTCATCTTGTTCTTGCTGTTCATTATTTTACAGATTTTAATTATGTTACTTTTGGTCCTTTACCTTTCTGGGGAAAGGATCAATCCAAATATTTTACAGCCATGCATTTCTACCATTGCTGGACATTTTAAGTCTTCTATATATCTTTTAGCTGTGCTACTGTATTAATATAATTTTTCATTTGTTTTTGCTGTCATTGGCAGTCATCATTTTTACTTACCAAAAAACTACATCAATTTGCTTACCAAATTAATGTATTGCATATTGGATTAATTTATGTCTTCTAATAAATTTTTGCATTGGCAGTGAAATAGACAAGAACATTGATTATATGTCAAACTTGAGGAGAGATAAATGGGTGGTAGAAGGTAAACTTCGCAAGTAAGTCCTATTTTATTAAGATTAATATATGATACAAGTGCCCCAGTGAAACAGGAATTGTGAAGATAGAATTTAAACTTTATTTTGTCTAAGAATTAGAAAAGGTAAAGCTTAATTAAGACGGGATAGAAAATTAATAAAACTCAGGGCCAGATTTTACAGTGGACAAAAGATATAATGAGATTCATTGAGCTCATGTGCTTCAAACTTAAACAAAGTCAGTTTATCTTTTTTCTTTCAAAGAAGTCAAGCAATCACATTTTCTAAGATTGTTGTTGCTATCAGGTTACTTTTGTCATAAATAGAATCTGTTTGGAACTACCACTTTTTTTCTTAATTGCTTTCTGATTAAAGTTTGCTTTTACAGAGAGTCTAACATACCCAAATGTATTCAGCATTAAAACTTAATTAGCTTCCTGCCAGGAAATACAATACTGAAATTATTCAACTTCTATGTTAAGAGGATAGTTTCTCTGTGGTAATTTGAATTGAAATTTATTCAGTCTGATAGTATGGGATCAGGCATTATCACTTGGCCATTGGTAGAGTTAATCTTTTCAGTTTTCTAAATTTTATTTTTTTAAATGTGTTCTAATTTCAATGAGATATCCAGAATAACTCTTGAAAGTTAATATGTTCTGTAATTTCTAGAAACATATTTCTTAAATTTCCTTAATTCTGATTTTTATTGTCATTGATTTATTGCTTACTGTGAGAGAAATACCATAGGTATTTTTGCTTAAAATTTACATTATGCTCTTAAAAAGTATAGAGAGAAGCCTTTTCTTCCATCTCATCATTTTTTCATGTTAAAAGGCTCAGAATCATTCATGCTAAGAAAACAGGCAAAAGAGACACTTCAGGTGGCATTGATCTTGGAGAAGAACAGCATCCATTGGGCACACCCACTCCAGGACGCAAGCGAAGAAGGAAGGGAGGAGACAGTGATGATGATGATGATGATGACGATGACAGTGATGACCAAGCTGATGAGGATGAGGAAGATGAAGAAGATAAAGAAGACAAAAAAGGAAAAAAGACTGATATCTGTGAAGATGAGGTAATCAAATTTAGGTTGACTTTAATTCTTAACTAAGACTGCATAACATCGTGAAAAATAACAGAATTTGGAGTCGACTGGGTTTGGGTTTGAATTCTATTTTGACACTTACTTGCCTCAGTTTCTTCATTTGAAAACTTAATATTATAATATTCACTTCACAAAGCTTTTTGTGATGGTTAGGTAAATATTGAATAGAAGGCCTACACATAGAAGGCACTTACATTAATAAAAGAAGTTAAGTTGTTCTTTTTATGTAATGACTTGAGAGTTCTCCGAAGAACTATGCAGATTCTTAATTTCAAGTGTTCTCTTTCATTCTATTAACATACTAACCTACATTTGTACAATACTTCATGCCTTGAAAGTGTTGTCAGTTCTAGTGAAACTGATGTATTTCTCAAACACTGGCTTACTATGTGCCTAGCTCTAGGCGCTTCTTATCAAAGATGAATAAGATACTGAAAATCACTTCTCAATTTACAATCTCAGTGAGGAGGACTTGCAGTAAGATAATGTAATGTTTTAAGTGTTAACTGCCTTGATAGCAGTTAACAATGTGCTAGGCAAGTACAAAAGATGGGCATTTAACCTTTCTGAGAAATAAATTCTTACAGAAGCTTTCTGGACCCATTAGCTGGGCTGAATGTTAACCAGGGAAGAATCCATGGAAAAATGTTCCACAGACAGAGAATAGCATGAGCAAGGGTGCAGAACTGAAACCACAATGTGCTTTAAGGGACTTATAAGTTCTTCAGTGTTACTAGAGAGCCTTATACATAACAATGATAGGAAGCCATTGAAAGGTTATAAGTAACGGAATGACATGGTCCAACTTGATTTTTAAGTACCTTACTATGGCCGCTCTGTGGAAGATAGAAATAGATTTGGGTAGGGCAAGATCAGAGGTGGGAGGATCAGTCAGGAGATATTGCAGTAGTTTAGGTGAGTTGTGAGAGGTCTGAAACTAGAGCAATGCTAGTTGGGATGAAGAAGGAGGAAAGGATTTAATAAATATTTAGGAGGAAGAATGAGTAGTATTTGAAGATGGACCTTTAGGTTGACGGAGAGGTAGGATTGATTCCCAACTATCTGGCTTGGGAGATTGCATGCTATTGTTGCCATTAACTGAGATAGTGAAATAGGAGGAGCAGAGAAAATAGATGATGGGGAGGAAGGGAGTACAGAACAGATCGCTGAAGATAGGAAATGATGGTAGGTTTATTTTGGACACGTTGAGTTTGAGATGCCTATGCAGAAGTTCAGCAGTCCGTTGGATTTAGGAATCTGAAGCCTGAAGAAGAGTTTAGTCTTAAAAATATAGATCTCGAAGTTATTAGCACATAAAAAAAAATCATGAGGTAAATAAGTTTGCACAGGGGAATTGGTTCAGTGAATAGAGTAGTGGACTGAGGTTGAAACCCCAGGGAACATTAATATTTAAGAAGAGTCTGCAGGCTTCTTGTGGAAGAAGGAATAGTCAGAGAGGTAGGAGATTTCTGTGTGGGTTGGGGATCCCCAAGACCACCTCCAGAGTCAGTGATTCACTAGGAGGACTCAGAGAGCTCAGCATCTAGTCATGCTATGGCCATGAATTATTACAGAGAAAGAAAACAAAGCAAAAGCAGCAAAGAGAAAAGGCATATGGACCAAAGTCCAGAGGAAACTAGGCTCAAGCTTCCAAGAATCTTTTCCCAGTGGAGTCACACAGGATAGGCTTAATTCTCCCATCAATGAGTTGTGACATGTATAAAATGTCGTGTACCAGGAAAGCTCATAAGAGACTTGGTGCCCAGAGTTTTTACTGGGGGTTGGTCATACAGGCACCCTCTGCATAGCCTGTGCCAAAATTCCAGACTTCCAGAAGAAAAATAGGTGTTCAGTATAAACGACACAGCTTGTTAGCTTGTTAGCACAGCTTAGGTCCAGTGAGCCAGTCATACCGGTTAGGGTGGGGGAACCCTCTGAAAGTTCCCTGACACCAGCCTAGAGTCAGCCTTATAAGCAGACCTTTCAAAGGATAGCAGTCAGGCCTGCAATGTTAACTTTTTTCTACACAAGTAGTAATAACAAAATCAAGAAAATTAAACATTTCAAAAAGGAGGGAGTGATAAACAACGTTAAGGCAGCGAAATCCAGTGTGGTGAGGACTATAAAGTGTTCATTGGACTTGGCAACATAGAGATCATTGGTAATCACTGCCAGCAGAGTTTCTTTCGAGGGATGAGAGCAGAAGCCAGGCTGTGACTGATTGAGAACAATAGAAAGTGAATATGGCTGTTTCAAGCTTTGTGTCTCAGAAAGAAAGGGTAGTTTCTACAGGGAGACAAAGACAAAGATTTTTCAGATGTGAAAGAAGTGAGATGATTTTTGGTTGAAGGGAAAGTCAATAAAATGAGAGAGAGAGGTTGACGATTAAAGAGATGAAGAGAATAATTAGTAGTATAAGGTCCCTCAAGATATTGGAGAGGATATCCACCTTGATTGCAATGTGAAGGGGCTAGCTTTGAAAAGTACGCTAAAGGGAAGAAGGCAAGGTCATAGAGGTGTGTGTGGGTGTGTGTGTGTGTGTGTGTTTAAGCGAAGCTACCATAAGCCATGGAAATGGACATGTATGTGTCTATGGGACATATACATACATCTCCCATGTATAAAGGGGAGATAAAGATTGAAGTTCACCTTTTACCAGAAAAGAATGCTAGAAGTATTGATCGGGCTACAGAATGGCTCTCACAAAACAATATACAGCCAACCATACCTTCTACCCTCAATGCCAGGAGTATTTAGTTAAGGAAGTCTAGAAAGAATTCTTTTCCTTTCTTACATCAACTCAGTATTGCTGGAGAAATAAAGAAGGCTTAGGGGGGGTGAATTTACTGATGGAATATGTGAAAATAATATCCAATCAAGACCAATGATATCTAAATCAATTTTTTGGCTGAATCTGGATAATAATGTAGAGGAAACTTATAAGATCATGTGCTACACAATTCTCTTAAGTAAAAAGGACATAAATGCAAAATGCTTTCATAAATTCCCCTCAATATTATATTTTAAATCGGATGATAAAAATCACTAGAATGAGCTTTATTTCTTTTATGAGTACCAATCCGAAAAGGAGACTACCTTGAGATTCCTTGCAGAAATTATTTCATAATGTTGTACTTTTAAAATCACTTGATCATATACTTTCATGCTGTGACAAATAATGTGAAGGGTGTATAATTTGGGTACCAGAATTGTAATTACTCAAACAAAAGATATCATTTATAACCAGTCTGCTTCTTGGGCAAGTAGAGCTGTTTCCATAGCAAGAATTAAACTTTTCTGGTCGGTATTAATCACCTTTTCATGGAATTAGCATCCCTTTTCAGCACTTAAGATAAATTGTTTTAAAGTGTTAACTTTCATAAATTTGACAACCTCATATTGGGATTTCAGTGTATTCTACTGGACAGTTATCCCACTAAATTAGAATTTATTTACAGAAATTACTTGTTTCCCCTGTTTTTTTTTCACATGGAGAATTAACAAACCATACTTTTTTTCTTTAAGGGAGATAAAAACTAGTAAAAATCATTATTAATGATTTAAAAATCATTATTAGTATTTCTTAGACCAGATATATTATTTAAAGTAGTATTTTTTTATGTGTTGAATTAATTAGATTGTAGGGTTTTACTTATCAAAATCCTGGCAAATGTATATCTTGTTACTAATGTGAGAAAGCAGTTTAAAAACTTTAAAAAATAATAAATATTTTAGGACCTAAGTAGCCAAATTAGCATTTCCTTTCAATGATCTGAGAGTTATTCTTTATAATGAAGAACTGGTAGCCACTTATCAATTTCCTAATAAAATAAAATTTTAACTATTTAATGAAACTGATGGTAAGATAGGCACATTATTCCTCCAAAAATAGCTTTGGCCTCTTGATTAAAGTATAGGTAGAATGGCAGTAGTTGTTATCCTTAAAAAATTAATTGCAGGAAGCCTTTCCATTGAGACCCATGTGCTCTCTTTCAATTAGAAGATACTACCCTTGACCAAGTCATAGCCCTTGGTCTCAAAGATGATTTCCTCTTCTCCTCACTCTTCATTCCTTCAACCTGTGAGTCTTTCCCTAATACTTAGATTTGTCTTGGAATCCATGTAAACTTTAACCTCAGAAGTTGGCAGGTAGGAGGTTATATGGACAATTAGACTCCAACATATAGGGACATAAATGGCCGCCTTTTTTGGTTGGGAAACCCCGGAGAACCATGGCAGGGATAGACCCTGTGTTCTGTGTTTTGTTGTTGCTGTCTTTCTCTCTGGTCTTTCAAGTTACTTCATACCTCTTAAAATTATAAGACTGCTAGTCAAAACGCTTTTAAAGAAAACTTTAGTAGACATTTTACTTCTTTTTCATCATAGGAAGAGTCTTAAAATGGCAGTTATTTAATTTGGTTGATACATAGCTACTTTGATATCTTATTTCAAATATTTGTTGATTGAATTGTATTTTTACATAAGCAAATTATCAAACATTTGTCCTACTGGTCAAAAGATCACATTAGAATCATATAGGTATATAAATATCTATTTGAGAGTCAAGATTTAAGGGTCTTTGAACCTGTTCTCTTCTAAGGTTTCTTTTAATCCTAAGTAGGAATCATGTTACTATTAGAACAAATAATATACCTAAATGCCTTTGTAAGTTGTTTCCATAAATTTGGATAAGGAGTGGATAAATTATAGATAATGATGAAACTATTGAGGTTCTCCTTTCACTTCCTTTTATTGAGGAGATAACCATACTGGTCTAGAAATATCTGTTCATGAGTGATTGGTGGCAGTGTGGCTTTTTAAAAGTGCCTGTAGAAAGTGAACATCATAAACAAGCTCTTGTTTTAAAAGATGTACCTGCATCTTCTCATTAAAGTACAATTTTCAGAAAGAAAGAAAGTGACCATATTTACATATTATGTGCCAGAAACTCGACTAGTTGCTTTCAGATCTGTTCTTATTCGTTCTCACAAAAATCCTATGTTACGGATAATGTTATCACCAATTTACAGATAAGGAAACAGTCTTAGAAAAGTTAAGTAATTGTCCCATACAAAGTAGTACCACTGAGATTCAAAGAAACACATCTCCCTTCTATTACTTCATGCTTTCCCTCAAAACATGTAATTTTGGGGTGGTTTTCTTATATTCATTTTCTAGAATGAAAAATTTCATAAAATCACATGTGAAATTTCCATTTATGACATCAGTACTAATATACAGTAGGGATTATTTTTCTTCTAGAAGTTCAGTGTGTTAAAAATATAACATCTTCTTTGCTCTAAAAATGACTCTTTCAGTTAATGGTACCAATATTTTTGCAGTTTCCCAGATTTAAACACTTAACCTCATAATTTACTTCTTCCTTCATCTCTCTCATCCCTCTGCCTCATATCCATGACTCGCCAGGATTTAACAATTCTAACTATGTAATACCTCCTATATATATTTGCTTTTCTCTATTTCTATTTCTTTTACCCTGTAAGACCCACATTTTCCTTCCCTCTTGAATTATTGCAGCAATCTGCTAACTAGATTTGCCAATTCTAGTCATTTCCCGGCTCCAGGCCATCTTATAACTATTGCCATATTAATTGTTGTAAGGCATAGTTCTGATGTTTAACCTCCCTCAAAGAATCATATTGTCCATTGCTAAGCATTTACAGCTCTAGACAATTTAATCCTAAGCTCATCTCTCACCTCACCTCTTCATGTACTTCTCATGTCAAGATCCGTCACACTCTTTCTGGAATGCCGTTCCTTCTTTTCTCTGATTGATCAATTCCTAACCATTCTTTGGTAGCTAATTAAAACACAGCTTCTTCCACGTAGCCTCTCTTGGTAGAGATTCCCATCAGAAGTAATCTCACCCTCCTCTGAACTCCACAACTCTTAACTCTCTCCTTCTCTTGAGGTCCTTATAGCTTCCTACTATTTTTTTTTTCACTGTAATGTTTTATGTGTCTCCCTAGCAGATTATTAGCTTATGGAGAGCAAGAACTGAGTCTTTTTTGTTCCCGTAGTGCCTCTCCTAGTACTTTGCATATAGGAGGCTTTCATTAAATATTTGTTGATTGGTTGGATAAATAAATCTTAAAAACAGGTAAATGATACTGTATTTTGTTATGTATAGGATGAAGGTGACCAAGCAGCAAGTGTTGAAGAGCTAGAAAAACAGATTGAAAAACTGAGTAAAGTAAGCACTTTTCAGATTACAGTTTACATCTTTTTTGCAGTGTTTTAAAAATCCACCTTGTATGGTGTTAATTTTTGTGGCTGCTAAATAAAAGCAAACTTTTTGTAAGTAATTAAAATGAGGAGCTCTAGAAACATTCTCACAATTAAACCTTAAAAATTTAATGCCATAGTTAAAAGCCTGCCTCTTAAAACATGGAACTAAACTTAATCCTCACCTGTATTCTTCAGCTCTTCATTTAAATACAAAATATTGATAAATGCATAGTTTTATTTCTTGGAATTAATTACTTTTAAAATTCAGTTGAATTTTATGGTGATAGTTTCGGCATCTTATGTTTTATTTTAAATTAGTATATTTGTGAATTTTATTTGCATTGGATTTACAAACTGTACATGTTTATGTACTTCTCATTAAAAATTGCATTTGAGAAGCATTAGTGAAGTTTTAGATGAACTTCTTGTTAAAATGAGTTTTTAAAAGTATTATCAGATACCCATATATTATATCAATGTTAGAGTCATCAGAGATTTATCCCAAAATTCAGTTATATGGTGCATATATGATTATATACAGCATCAGAATAAGAATAGAGATATACAGGTATGACCAATTACATATACAAGTATTATTTGTTATACACTGTAACGAATAGAATTGAGCCAATGTGCTTTGGCTCAATAAAATACCTAATCACATTGTTTATTGTCAAGTATAAGACATGCTTTACTATAAGATATCAGATAGGATAAACTTATATTTTTAATCCATGACAACAAAAATAATTCCATTTACCCACAAAGTAATTTCTATCTTTATAAATATTACTGAAATTGAAGTCAGGCATGTTACTATTTAGCTCTTTTGCTATCTTTTCCCAGTAGTAAAATCTATCTGCTCTAAAGTCATAGTAAGTGTAAAGTCACTTATATATTAATTTTTAAAGCACTTAACACCCATAGCTTAATTATATGCATCATTTTTTAACAGCAACAGAGTCAGTACAGAAGGAAGCTCTTTGACGCTTCTCACTCTTTGCGTTCGATGATGTTTGGCCAGGATCGTTACAGACGCCGGTACTGGATCCTTCCTCAATGTGGGGGGATTTTTGTAGAAGGCATGGAGAGTGGTGAAGGTAGGAACTATTAATCTATTACAAAGTAATAAAAGAAACCATATTTTTAAAAACCCTGTTACTCCTTCAATATATTTTTGTGCTTCTAGAATCAGATTTGCTTCATGGATAAACATTGTAAACCCTTGATTCCCATTCCTTTTGAACTCATAATGCCCCTTTCACTGATAAATATTCCTTCCCTGAACATGACTTTTCTTCTGCTGCTCTTTCTAACATCAAACATAAACTATTCTTTTTCTTATCTAGCAGACAAAATCTTCACCTCTATTATCCTTTATAGCTGCTGCTCCATTTCTCTTCCTTCCCATTCTCAAAGTTTCCAGCAAACTTTAACCTTTGCAACAAGCATCCATTCTGACAATATCCCTGGATGTAACTTGTTTAAATCTAAGATCCTTATCATAATCCACATTCATCTTGAAATCTTGTTCATGTTTGAAATTTGTGATCACCTCCTTTCCCATTGAACTTCTTCCTTTCTTGAGTTTTGTGTTCCCATACAATCCTAGATATTCTCCCTTTAAACTACTCTTTTGCTGACTCCATTTCTGTTACATTAACTAGCACACTACATAGCGCATTTGTGTGCTCAATAAACCATCTTGAATTTAACTTTTCAGAACTCTATGTCTGGGCATTTCTAAATGTTTAAGTTCTGATGGGGCCAAAAGTGCTTACAGGCTTCACGGTTTAGCTCTTGCCTACGTAGAGACAAAAACTTCTTTCAACACATTTTTTTGAATGTCTACTATGTGCCAGGCATTTCTAGGCACTGCAGGAGATCAACGATAGATAAAACATAATCTATGCCACGTAGAAGTTTAACAGTCCAGTGGAGACAGGGGATTGATTAATCTCTTAGATGTCTAGAAATTATATAAAGCAGTTTTTTCAAGCTTTTTGTTGTTAGTGGTGGAACCACCCTTTTTTTAAATAAAAATTATGTGTGGCAGGGCAAGGGAAGCTGTTAATGAAATAACACATGTAAACTGCTTAGAATAGTGGCTGGCATGTACGCGTTGTCGGCATATAGTAAACGGTGTTGTTATTGTTTTGCGCAATAACAGATTTGCTGTAGATTCAAATTATATGAAGTAAGTATAAAATCACGTATTGGAATGATGTGTGGAAGTCGTGCTCTGCCTCCCCAGGGCGGGAGTTGCCGCTGCAATCATGAGGGGTACATGAAGCCTTCAGTTTTCTTTTATTTCTTTTTAAAAATTGATGTAGATGGGTCAGCATGTTGATTTAATAGGATAGTGTAGTGGTTTCTTTTTTTAACTGTTTACTTAAAATATTTTAAAATAAAAATATTTTTAAGCATGGAGAAAATAAATAAATTTAAACATAATAAATAAGTGAGACTACATCATACTAAAAAGCTGCTGCACAGCAAAGGAAACCATCAACAGAATGAAAAGGCAATCTACTGAATGGGAGAAAATATTTGTAAATCATATGTCTGATAAGGGGCTAATATCCAAAACATATAAAGAACTCATACGGTTCAATAGCAAAAAACTAAACAATCTGATTAAAAACTGGGCAGAGGACCTGAAAAGACATTTTTCCAAAGAAGACATGCAGATGGTCAACAGCCTTATGCAAAGATGCTCAGCATCACTAATCAACAGGGAAATGCAAATCAAAACCACAATGGAATATCACCTCACACCTGTTAGAATGGCTCTTACTAAAAGACAAGAGATAAGTGTGGGTGAGGATGTGGAGAAAAGGGAAGCATTGTGCACTGTTGGTGGGAATGTAAATTGGTGCAGCCACTATGGAAAACAGTATGGAGGTTCCTCAAAATTTAAAAAAGAGAACTACCATATGATCCAGCAATTCTGCTTCTGGGTTTTTATCTGAAGAAAACAAAAACACTAACTCCAAAGATATGTGCACCCCTGTGTTCATTGTAGTATTATTTACAATAGCAAAGAAACAACCTAAGTGTCCATTGATGGATAAATGGATAAAGTAAATGTGTTATTCACACACACACACACACACACACAGGAATATTATTCAGCCATAAAAAAGAGTGAAATCCTACCATATGCAACAACATGGATGACCTTGAGGGCATTATGCTAAGCGAGATGAGTCAGACAGGGAAAGACATATGTTGTATGATCTCTCTTATCTGTGGAATCAAAAAAAAACAAAAATGAAAGCAAAAAAAACAACCTCATAGATACAGAGAACAGACTGGTGGTTGCCAGAGGCAGGGGGCAGGGGACAAGAGAAATGGGTGAAAACCAATTTTTTTAGCTTAAATAAATTATTTAAATAAAAAAATCGTATGCAGAACCCCAATGTCTAAGAAAAACAGAATTGTTCTGATTGATGTATTTGGGGAACTTGTAGCCTTTCCAGATAGCCTTCTATCCTGTATACTTGCTTTCTAATCCAGGGGTGGCCGGCCCCAGAGGCGACTCTAAGAAATATTAGGACTTTGCAAATTAGAGAGTAAAGTCAGAGCCATCAATGGTATAAATACAGAATTCCTAAAGGGCTCAAAACAGGAAAATGTTATATACCCTACTTAGTATTTTATCATAATTTTTGGTATACATGGCTCTCTCTACCACTGGACTGTGAGCTCTTGAGGGCAGAGATTAATTTAGGCAGGGAAACTGCGCTAAAATAAATAATCTGGGAGTGAAGTACACATTGAATTGGAATAAAAAGGGGTGGAGAAGTCAGTTGTGAGACCATTTCAGTAGCCTGGATAAAAAGTAGGGGGACCCTAAACTCAGGTGAAACAGGGAGAATGTGAAGACAGAGATCTTGAAGGTGGAATTGCTATAGGAAATTATTGAATATAATGTAAGAAAAGTGGAATCAGAGATAAATTTGATGAATGAATCCTCAGTGGAAAAATTATGATGTTTTAAGCTGAATCAGAGGAGTCAAGACAAGGAGTTTGTTGGAAATGAAATTAAAGTGTTAGTACAGAAATCTAATTTAAAATGACAAAATTGTGAGTCACTTGAGGGTGCGGCTGCATGGTATAGCTTAAGAGCAAATAGAGAAATGTCCAGGCAAGTGGCTTTGCCTGAGCTGTAATGAGAATTGCCTGAGAAGATTAAAAAAAAAATACCTGAGCCCTACCCCAGACCACTTAAATATTCTTCAATTTGATTGAGGGCCACATCATTCTCAGTCACCTGGGCGTGTAAAATTGAAGTTATCTAGCACATCAACTTTTCCTTCAAAATGTGTGAAGTCAATCTCTGCAAAACTACTGAATTCAGTTCGTTATCAATACATACCTGGATTATTACACCTCTCCTCGACTTCTCCATATACAATCCCCTCCTTCTATTACATTTTGTCGTTGTATCATGTCTCTACTCCAAAACCTTGATTGACTCTGTGTTACCTATAAGATGATGTAATAAATCTGAATGTATCCTGGCATTCAAGGCCCTCTATAAATCCAACCTCAAAATCTTTATGCTGTTCTCCAATATGAATTTACATAAACCAGTCCACTCACTGTTGCTCAGCACATGTACATTCCTCCCTCTGTGTCTTTGCATACTGTGCCTTGCCAAATTCTATTCAATATAATGCTAATTTGATTTCTCTTCAACCATCTAAATTTCATCCTTCTTTCTTGACCCAGCTCAAATCTTAGCCCTTTTATAAACTTCCCCAGCTTATTTAAGTGGAACTAATTTTTACTATGTGTGAACACCTAGAAAACCAAATAATTATGCCGTTATCTTGGCACTTTGATATACGTACTATTTATTTATATTACTTAAATTTAAACATCCTTCTTTGTACAACATTGTATTCTCCCTAATGTTAAGCATAGTACTTTACATTACCACAGGCAAACTGAAAATACTTTAATTAAGAAAGTAAATAATAATTGTATTTATAATTAATCAAATGTCTTTGTAATTTAAATAATTAAATAATTAATTAAACATCTTTTTTTTAATTGAGGTTCATAGTAGTTGACATCATTGTGAAATTTCAGTTGTACGTTATTTCTTGTCTGTCACCACAGGAGTGCTCCCCTTCACCCCCTATGCCCACCTTCCATACCCCTTTCCCTGGAAACCACTGAACTATTTTCTTTGTCCATGTGTTTATTTATATTTCACATATAAGTGAAATCGTATGGTGTTTTTCTTTCTCAGCCTGGCTTATTTCACTTAGCGTAATACCCTCCAGGTCTAGCCATGTTACTGTAAATGGGATGAATTTGTCTTTTATGGCTGGGTAGCATTCCATTGGATATATATATATGCCACATATTCTTTATCCAGTCATCAGTCGATGGGCACATGGATTGTTTCCATGTCTTGGCTATTGTGAACAGTGCTGCAGTGAAGGTAGGGGTACATATGTTACTTTGGATTGTTGATTTCAAGTTGTTTGGATGGTTACCCAGTAGTAGGAAAGCTGGGTCATATAGTAGTTCTATTTTTAGTTTTTTGAGGAATCTGCATACTGTTTTCCATAGTGGGTGCACCAGTTTGCATTCCTACCAGCAGTGTATGAGGGTTTCCTTTCCTCCACACACTCTCCAATATTTGTTGGTTTTGGTCTTGGTAATTATAGCCATTCTGGTTGGTGTAAGGTAATATCTCATTGTAGTTTTGATTTGCATTTCCCTAATGATTAGTGATGTTGAGCATCTTTTCATGTGCCTGTTGGCCATCTGTATATCTTCCTTTGAAAAATGTCTGTTCATATCCTCTGCCCATTTTTTGATAGGGTTGTTTGTTTTTGTTGTTGTTGTTGAGTTATGTGAGTTCTTTGTATACTTTGGATATCAACCCCTTGTCTGATAAATGATTTGCAAATATGTTTTTCCAGTTGGTGAGTTGTCTTTCCATTTTGTTGATGGTTTCTTTTGCTTTGTAGAAGTTTTTTAGTCTGATGTAGTCCCATTTGTTAACTTTTTCTTTTGTTTCCGTTACCCAAGTAGACATGGTATTCAAAAAGATATGGCTAAGACCAATGTCAAAGAG